AGGATCACACGAAAATAAAAACATCGTGTAGAATCAGGGAGAGAAACATATATTATGAACAAGGACAATAAAGGATATAGCTTGAAGTTACATACCAGAGATCATGAAAAATACGAGAGAGAATAGCAACAAGACCACAAATCATTTCAATTCTGAGCAATATCTAATCTACGATATCATCCCTAAAGTATCTGGTAGTCTAAGTTACTAGTTTTTTGGAATCTTCATTCAGGTAGGACAGCCTAGTGACATTTCTATTATAGTCTCAGCCAGATTGTTAACAAACATGGAATCAGCTTCGGTGAACACCCCACTGTCAACCAAATATATTTTATCTGCGACTGATTCCCAGTAGTATATACTACCCCGTAGTTTTTCTGATGATTATACATAGTTTGTGAAACTTCCAACAAAAAGAACAGTGTAATTTGTACATTTGAAGCTAATTCGATTATATCAACAAATAATAACTTATGAGAGACCTGATGAAACCTGATTTCCCTATACAAAGCATCTTTTTGGTGACTTGATGATGATACAAACTATTTTCATGAGGACTCGTAGGTGCATCCAGTGATGGAAGCTTGAAGCTCAAAGGAAGTGAGTTTAAATTATACGCACGTATCTAGGAATAACGATTTGTTAGTTAAATCGAAAACAGTGAAGTTACATTTGCCAATGAACATTTACACTTTTAAAACCAGATTGACTTCCTTTTCATAATACGGATGAAGAGATGACTATAAAATCTCCAATAATATTTGTTTACCATAAATCTATCACAAAAAGTCAATCGATTTATGAATTGAAGCAAGGTGAAAACTGAATTTACAGGATTTAGGTAAACAAAACTACTTGCTTGTTGATTGTTTTTTAAATCGCATGATCTAAATAATGTGCATATAGGGATTATTACTTTTAACAAGTTACAGCCTGGTAGGAATAAAAACATTTGAAACTCTAGCACTTCACAATCTACTTTTTTTAACCATATGGATATATTCCTTTTTAAACTAAAATAACTAGTACAAAAAAGACCAGAAGATAAAGCAAGAAATATGAGGTCAACACAAATTATCAAGAAAGTTTTTTAGACAAATAATCGTGACCAAAGTTCCACTTTGAGGTTAAATTAATCACTGATAATTAAACTGTTCAGATTATTAGAATAAACTGTCTAACAGAGAAAAACCTACATAGTTAAAATAACATATTTGAGATAATATTGTCACTATACCTTCTACACTGAAAACAGTAACAAACATAAAGAATCAGCTTTGAGTCTAAAGATTGAAGTGACAGCAGGTGAAGTACTTTGCTTGTAACCAGTACGTCACAGATCTGAATCTCAATTAGCACCATCAAGTCTCACAAAAAAACGTGTAGTACAAAGTGAAATAAGTAATCCAATACTTTAAAAATGATACGCACTGATGAACATATCTTGATTTACAAAAGATAAGAAGACACAGTTCTGAACTAAATCTATTTCACTAAACAGCTTTTGTGAGGCAATGGATTGAATAATTTCGACGCACTCAGCTTAGACTATCATCATCATCCGACGATAGGTGAGGATGAGTCGTATAGAACCACTTATTCGGATTCCGAGTAAATTTGCTATAATGTTCGGTTAACTGGTAGTTTACGTAAAGTGATTAGTTTTAAATATAGTCCACATAAACTTATACTGGCTGACAATAACAAAAACAGTAAGTAATTTTACTTAAGAAGTTATCAAAGTATGAATTCACCTACTATTCCGCGATATCTAAATGGTACATTCAAGGCTAATGATTAATACGTCTTATTTTAGATAATACAAAGACCAAATGGTCAGAATACATCGGTTTCAGACGGTTCTTGGTTGGAAAGAAAACATTCTTCAATGTCCCAGTAAAGAGCAATAGTGTGTATTGTTGAAAGGTATCAAGCTAGTACCTCAAAACATTTCCCACCAACAGTTCTCTAGCTAATATGATTTCATATAAATCAACTTTAAAACCATTCAGTGTACAAAAATTTGCAAACTTGATAACCGCAGAACTTTTTTACCATTATAGTTAAACAATAAACGAGAAAATTTCTATTAACATATTAAACATAATGCATAGAGTTAGAAAAGTGTTAATCATCAAATTCGAATCCAATAATTCAATAGTAATGTAAACGTTTTATGACCCGGATGTCTGAGACTGAATATG